AATCAGATCTCCTGTGTCCCAGTCACAGCCTTAACTGTGACCATCCTCTTGAATTTTGAACAAAGCTTTTTCTAATCCACTTGAGTGCTCTGAGAAATATCCTTTTGCAGTGGTTTTTGTAACTCTATCCTCAGCACTGCTCCATGTTTTCCAGCATTGATCCCTATGCCTACTTATGAATTCATGTCATGACTTGTGAAAGATTAACATGACACCAAGCTCCCCTTCTACAACAAAGCCCACGTGCTGACCCTAGACACTTAATGAAGCACTGCAGCTGTAACATTAGTGTAGTCAATTACCAGCACCAAACTCTTACTTTGCTATGACAGAACTTTTTAGCAACCAGGACTTTAGAGCTACTTCCTCCCTCAAACCAAGAAGGTTTCTTGTCTGACTCTTACTGGCCATGCCACAGCTATCCCTTAAAAAGTATCCTACCTCCTTTAATCATTAGGACTACTAGTTTTGGGTGAGAGAAAATGGGCCCTGTCCATTTTCCATAATGTGGGCCAGAGAGCAAGGGTCATATTCTCCATGGAGAGTGCTGTTTGTCAATTTAATGTGAGATGATCACTATAATGCACATTGGTTTGTAAAGCACTCTAAGATAGTTATAAATGTCAGCCAGTGGGAACAGTACTGATTGTTGTGGGGATGGTTGTATTCAGGGCCCTGTGGCTGCGAAATTGTTCCAGAATCTGTTTTTATTCAAGAATCTTTAGTTCTTATAGCTGCTGGGCTAATGCTGAAAGCATGAGCAGAATGTAAACTCAGCTAGTGTATACAGTCAACCTGAAACAAAAGCTCACATGAATTAGCCTATTTTTTTTAAATGGTTAAGTGACAGGTTTCAGAATTATTTCATGCATCATTTTCAAAAAAACATGTAGCTATCTATCTATCCCAGCCTTCCCCACCCTTTGCAGCTCTCAGGCCCTCCAATTTCCTACTACCACCCCTAATGCATTTAGGTATTATCAATGCAAAATCTACAATGTAGTGAAGACAAGATGGAGACAGCATGAGATTGAATTTGAAACTAAAGAGAGGCTACTGTACTGAACAACTCCATACTTAGTTCAATAAAACCTCCAAGTTCTAAAACTGCTTGAAATAAGTTTTAGAACTTAAATCCAGTAAAGGACATGGTCAAGCAATTAAAAAAATTAATTGTACTGTTAAAATACCATTTAAATATTTTTGGATGTTTTCTACATTTTCAAATATATTGATTTCAATTAACACAATACAAAGTGTACAGTGCTCACTTTATATTTTTGATTAAATATTTGTACTGTGTAAAACAAGTGTTTTTCAATTCACCTAATACAAGTACAGCAGTTCAATCTCTATCATGAAAATTGAATTTACAAATGTAGAATTATGTACAAAAAAAGCATTGTTTTATATTTGAATGTAAAACTTTACAGCCTACAAGTCCACTCAGACCTACTTCTTGTTTAGCCAATTGCTCAAACACGTTTGTTTACATTTGCAGAAGATAATGCTGCCTACTTCTTGTTTACAATATCACCTGAAAGTGAGAACAGGCATTCACATGGCACTGTTGTAGCCAGTGTCAAGATATTTATATGCCAGATGCACTAAAGATTCCTATGTCTCTTCATGCTTGAACCACCATTCCAGAGGATGTGTGTCCTTGCTGATGATTTCTTCCTGATAATCTAAAGCAGTGAGGCCTGATGCATGCCAATTTTCATCATTTGACTCAGATGCCACTAGCAGAAGGTTGATTTTCTCTTTTGGTGTTCTGTAGTTTCCACATTAGTGTGTTGCTCTTTTAAGACTTCTGAAAGCATGTTCTACACCTTGTCCTGCTCAGACTTTGGAAGGCACTTCAGATTCTTAAACCTTGGGTCAAGTGCTGTAGCTATCTTTAGAAATCTCACATTGGTACCTTCTTTGTATTTTGTCAAATCTGCTGTGAAAGTGTTCTTAAAATGAACATGTGCTAGGTCATCATCTGAGACTGCTATACATGAAATATATGGCAGAATGTGAGTAAATCAGAGCAGGAGACATACAATTCTCCCCCAGGGAGTTCAGTCACCAATTATTTAACTTTTTTTTTTTTTTTTTTTTTTTAAATGAGTGTCATCAGCATGGAAGCATGAGCTCTGGAATGGGGGCTGAAGCATGAAGGGGCATATGAATGTTTAGCGTATCTGGCACACACATACCTTGCAATTGTGGCTACAAAAGTGCTATGTAAACACCTGCTCTCACTTTCAGCTGACTTTGTAAATAAGAAGCAGGCAGCATTATCTCCTGTAAATATAAACAAATGCATTTGTCTTAGCGATTGGCTGAACAAGAAGTAGGACTGATTGGACTTGTCAGCTCTGAAGTTTTACATGTTTGAGTGCAGTTATGTAACTTGTATGAGATGAATTGAAATACTATATTTTTACAAGTGCAAGTATTTGTAATAAAGTGAGTACTGTACACTTTATTCTGTGTTGTAATTGAAGTCAATATTTGAAAATGTAGAAAACATCCAATATTTAACACTGATTAAAACCAATTTTTTAATCACAATTACATTTTAGTTAATTGTGTGAATTAACAGCAATTAATCAACACCTCTAGTAATCACCCAACTTTCTATTATATGTGAGTTAATATTCATAGAAGTAGCAACCTGAATGCTGATTTAATTTTTTTTTAAACCCTGAAGGAAAAGTCAGATTTTAGCAAAGTGTTTTCAAAATTTAAGAAATAATTTTTGTAAAGTGTTCTGTATTAGCAAACTCCTGTAATACTTGGTTTGAAAGCTGCATGACAACCTTTAAAAGTGACTAGGCAGTTACTTGTCCAAACTGACCAGAGTCTACAGCGATTAAGTGAAAAGTACATTTGATTTTTAAATTTTAGTTCCTTGTCACTTTACAAGAAAACCTGCCTCCTTAACATTTAAAGGAAGTTCAGGGAAGGCCACGACCCCACCAATTGGACATCTTTTCTATAAATATAAAATACTAAGCATGCTAATTAGCAAAATGTACCATTCAAGAATGTTGCTTTAATCATTAAGCCATCTACATTTTCAGTCATCTTTATTCATAAAATAAATTTACTGTACAATACACATTCCCAGCCATATGTTCACTTCAAGCATCTGCATTACAAAAATAGTGGGTATGTGATGCAAAGTAGTCACTCCACACAATGTGAAATATATTTAAAACCCTAACATTGAGTTTGTTTTGGGGATGGATGGAGAGAAATATCAATACATGTAGGTGAAGACTAGGAATAGATAAATTAAAATCACGTTTTGTATTTACAAAGAAGCACTAATCAAGCATTGTTTCATAATAGAGCAACCTTAAGGAATTGCCACAGACTAACAGCTTCCTCTGTTATACAAGCTAGGAAATTACATTTTAAAAAATATAAAATGTGTTCAAGATAAAATTTAAGATGTCTTTGGACACCAGTCAGTAATGGCTAAAGGGAAATTGTCATTTTTTACAGCTCTCAAATAGAAATAAAATCTTTCCAAGGCTGATGCAATAAAGAGGCATTCTATAACATGCAGTTTTTTCTAAGTTCCTAAACCAAAAGATAGGATGCTGATTGTGTAGTCACTGTCAAGAAACAGAACGAGTGATCTTTTCAATAATTTTTATGAACTTATTTTGTAAAAAGCAAGATTCCTTGGAAAGTTTGGAGAACTCGATCCACAGTTGTCTGAGTTCTCATCATTACAATGCCTTTTATCACTTCCATAGGAGCAGTTCAGTTATTCCAATGACTAACTTGCATATTTACAATCTTCACCAAGCAAGTTCATACAGATTAAGTCAAATATTAAAAGTAATTAATCTTTTGCTTCAAGGGAGGGGAAGTTACTATGTGAATTATAGTGGGAATTAGTAGCATCTCTATACCAATGGTTCAATCAGTAACTTTATAAACCCAAGTTTTTCCACAGGCTAATAATTCAGTCTTAGACATTTATACCATGATACGTTTTAGCCTACAAGGGCTTGAGTTTTGGGGTTTTTTAATTTGAAAAAAATATTGGTTTACATTTACAGTATTTAATCTGATTTATCAAATGAAGCTTGAGTAGCAGAGCAATAGGATTCAAACAACTTTTGCTATGTGAAAGTTTGAGCTGCCAAAGTATTCAGATTTGGCTAGTGCTTGTGTGTATAACAATTTTTGGTGAAGGCTTTTACTATACATATTTGAAGATTTACTTTAAATTATGAATTGTTTTACATGCCAGACAAAAAAAAAATATGTAAAGGAAGCCACACACATCAATTGAGGGTTTTTACCTCCTTTTCTTATTCAGGGAAGCAATTTGTCAAATTTACACTCAAAAAGGACAAAAGCAATGCAAGAGTTATTTCCTCAGCTTTTCACTTCACACTTACATATTGCAGCACATGTAGCCCATCTAGTCTGATTCCAACAGTTTAATTGGGAAGTGCCAACTTTTCATTTCTGCATTTGCCTCAGGACTTAAAGAACTGGCCCTATTTTGCTCAGTGAAGCATGTTAAAAGCACAACTCAATCTATAAATGGAGTTGAAGCAAACTTTAAAAACATTTTTAGTACCTCATGAAAGTGAGGGATTAATAGCACTATTAGAGCCTGCTAGAGTGCCAACTTCCTCTAATGGTTCTTTCAGTATACCTTATTTCAGCTACTTCAGTTTGGGTGTCTCCCAACTGCAGCTTCCCAAGTTGTGATGAACAAACATTGAATTACAGACTAGAAACAGACCAACCTAGTCCTCTACAGTTTTGAAACAAAAGTCTGAACCTTTTCCCCTCTCTAAAGGTGACTGGCTACATAAAGAACTGAGCAAGATGGGAGCAGCTCTTTTAATGTTACTGAAACAATTTAAAAACAGATTCAGTATCTGCAAAATACTTTAACAGAAGTATTTAGAACTGCACATTCGTATGAGCAGAACATACTGTGGATACCTACAGAAAGTACCTTCTAATAGTAAATATTATTTACCAATTGGTTTACAGCTGAGTGCTGATAAAGATTAACAGCATTAGGAATAACAAGACGTGTCATTTTAAATTAGCTATTTCCTAACTGTCATACCAAATGCAAGTGATGATCATATTTTGAACAGGGATTCTTCAGGAGGTCTGTGTTTCCACTGACTTCAACCAGGAATTGGATTAGGCCCTTAGTATTACCAATTCCTGTTGTGAAAGGTAGTTTTGACTATAAAATTTGTTAAAAGACAAACAGCAACATGGATAGTACATAGGGTCTACCTGTTACTTTAACTACTCTTGGCAAAGGAGACTGATTTCAAGTGTCATGTTATTTAGGCAGGTGTCCTTTTTATGATCAGTAGCTTATACACATTTTCTATATGTGAATGTTTAGCTTGTCATTTGTTTTGAATGGATTAATACAAAATCTCCAATTCCACAACTGCATTGAGAAGCAATTTCCTACAAGAGTTAGGTCTATGGCAATCAACTAATCTGGTGCTAAAAACCTTGATATACTGTACACTGTATAAAGCATTAACCTGAAGTCTGATTTAAGATACAGGAGCTTTCTGGTGCCCTATTCAGTAACAAATGCTTGACAAGTGAACCCTGATACCCTAAGCTGTTAAATGTGCAACAAAGTTTGCTGACTTCACAGAATCTTCAGCTCTTCCTCAGGCTCAGATCACTGCTCGTTACTAATGCTGACAGAGATGTACTCTCCGATACATCTTCTTTCTTGAGATTCAGGAATGATTCTCTGGTGATCTGAAGGATTTCCCTCAGGCCGTTGTTTTCTTGCTAGAACATGCCAAAATAAAAAAAAGACACTTAAAATAATTCCCGGTGGAAATCAGGACAAAGAAAATGAAAATAAGATCTATTTGGGGAGGAGATTAATTGTTTGGGATGGAAGAGGAAAAAAGTAGTCTTACATTAACCTGTGATTTGAGAGGGAGGGAGTATTTAGGAGTTCTATTTTTTGTTGTACTGAACAGATATCTTCAGTATCAAGAAAAGCGTTCAAAGGAAGAAGATTTTTTTTAAACAAAGCTTAAATTTAAGCTAAGTTAAGATTCCCCCCCCCTCATCCCCAATGGCAAAACACTTATTTAAAACATTTCTCTGTGGCAAAGCATTGTGCAAGCACATAACCAGAAAGCTGCACTGCCTACCCTAAACATTCAAAAAGCGATCCCAAAAATATTTTTTAAAAATGTTTTTTAAGACAAAGACATGCATGTGGGTTGGAGGCTATTTGCCTTCTAGTTTCTGAACCTTCAGGATACACTCCTGTCACATTTTTAAAGCTTATGTCTACAACCATGAGGGCTAAAAATTTAATTGTTTAAAAATGAAAGCTGAAACCCTCAATCATTTCTCTAGGAGCTGGAACTTTACATAAAACATCCTATTGCAGGACTCATGAAAAAAAATCACAAGAGTTGGAAACAGAGCAAAACTGACTAGTCTTATTGTCCAAATAGAGTATAATGCAAACAGGAGCATAAAAATAAATTAGATCAAGCTAATTCAATAACATATTACATTTTGATAATTTTGTCATGAGATTAGGTTGTTTTGGGTGGCACTAATATGATGGGAACAACAGGATCGGAAAATTTACATAGAACAGAAGCAGAGACTGAAAACCAAGAATGCAAAGCATCCTTTGCCATGCGGGATTAAAATGGCAATAAGAGTAGAGAAGATTAAGCTTTCTTCTTCAAAATTACTGGCTTTGCAGACTTCATGGTTAGAGGTGATGAATGTTGAAAATAGTTATTTGAATGGTTCATACAGATCTTTAATTAAGCTGAATAGCATAGCATTCTGTAAAGGGCACAAAGAAGCGCCACTGGTAAGGCTCTCTCTAGTCTGGACACTGTTGCAGAGAATATAGCATCTAAGGAGACAGATTAGAAGTCAAGGTAGACAACTGGAGCCAAGGAAAATATTTGGACAAGTGTCTCTCAGAATCTAGTGAGTGCCCAGAACTGATGTGAGGAACCCAGGCCTTTATGCTCTGGATCCCCTGGGGTGTGTTAAGCTTCTGGAGCCTGAGTGGAGTTCAGCCACTGCCCCAATCTCAGGGCCTCTCTCTTCTAACTGGCACCTCTTCTGAGTGTGAACCCACTATCCAGCCACCTACCCCTTCTTAGCTCAGCACTGACTCCCCTGCACTTAAACCCACCCCTTTCCCATAATGCCACCCAAAAGGTGTGAAGCCTCCAGTTTACAGTGCAGCAGTTGAGATGCATACACACTTACAGTTTACACTTTGTACAGTCTAACACAGGGGTGAGCAATAATTTTCGCAGGAGGGCCACTTCACTAATTTTGGTAAGTCGTCACAGGCCGCACGTTTCTACTACATTAATGGAGGGAGTGCGGGGTCTGGGAGGGAGTTTGGTTGTAGGACCTGGGACAGGGGGTTGGAGTGCAGGAGAGGGTGCAAGGTGCAGGCTCTGGCCGGGAGACGCTTAGCACAGGTGGCTCCCGGCGGTGGCGCAGCAGGACTCAGGCAGGCTGCCCACATGCCATGGCTCCAAGCCGCTCCCGGAAGCGGCTGCGGCCAGCTGCTGCTGGCACATTTCCATGCACTGCCCGCGCTCGCAAGCACCACCCCTGCAGCTCCGATTGGCCAGTTTCCAGCCAATGGGAGCTGTGAGGACGGCGTTGGGAGCGGGGGCAGCGCGCAGAGATATGCCAGCAGCAGCCAGCCGCTTCCAGGAGTGGCATAGGGCCACGGCAGGCATGCAGCCTGCCTGAGCTCCCCACTGCGCCGCGGGACTTTTAGCGGCCCGGACTCAGAGATCGTAAGGGGGCAGAGGAGGCCAGACAGAAATGTTAGTCATGGTGAGCTGGAAAGATATGTTAGACGGGGCCGGATCTGGCCCACGGGCCGTATTTTGCCCACCCCTTGTCCAACACCTTTATCCTCTTTCATACTTAATCCTGTAAAGCACAGGAGAAAACAGACCATGGAAAATAATAAAACATCTTAACAATCTCTCTCACTAGCTCACCTTTCTGTTGGAAGTGGTTGAAGAATAATCTGTGTTCTGCAAGGTGGGCAGGGTATCCCCTGCCTCATGCATGCTGTCAACAAGGAAAGACTGCAGAAAACAGCCCCCAAGCAGAGACCAGCCTGTGATCTTTTAAAACCTTCACCATCTGTCAGGTGACACTCATGCCAGCTTCCCTATATGAGCACAAAGTCACTTCCCACCTGCTAAAGCAGTTCTTCAGGGCAGAGACCAGTCTCTTGTCTAGAGTGACTAGATTTCCAGTGAGTGGGTACTTGAGACAACTACTCTCTATTTTTGTTTTGCCACCAGCCTTTGGAATTTGCAACCCTACATGGAGGCAGGCAGACCACAGAGAAAGCAAAAGGCTGCATTTTCAAAATAGAGAGTTTGCAGCCTGACACAAATATAGGCTTCATAATCTCACACAATTCATAAACTGAACAGGCATATTCCCAATTTATCATACAAGGATAGCAACAAGGAATTTTCACAGTGGCCAAGTAGTGCAACTAGAAGAATAAATAGAGGGAAAAAAAGGGGGGGGGGGGCACGGAAAAGGAAATAATGTATTAAAGGCTAATTCCACTGACATAAAAGCTGAGCATGGTCCCAATGCACTCAATTAAGCCTAGGCATAATATGTAGATTATATGAGAATTGGGCTACATACTAACACTTATTTCAGCAACTCTGCACTTCAAGTACTTGCTTCTGTCACCATGACTAAAAGTGAATAGAGAGAGGAGATGGGCCAAGCAAAATAAATATGTTTAATGCCAAAAAAGGGATGTAGATTAAAAAAATAGATATATAATAGGTGGTCAAATAAAGAGATAGCTTTAAGTTTGAGCAAACCCTTGTAATGTTGAGCAAGAGAGCATTTCAAAGCTAGAAAGTTCCTCTGCTTTAAAAATACATGCTACATTGTAATTTTATTTCAAAATGTGATAACACTTTAGCGGTGGAGGTGGGAAGAGAAAACCTTGTGGCTGCCATAGCTTCTTTGATGGAATACTTACTTCAAGCTGAAAAATACGCTCCTGCTCTTTGCAACCCTGCTGCTCATCAATTTCAATGGCTCTTCTCATTACTGCTGCCATTTCTGTAATTTGGTCCACATGCACTTGTAGATCCTAAACCATAAGTGAAATAAAAAGCTTTACCAATATATTCTTTCCTGCATTAATAAAAGTGAGCATTAACTGCATTTTAACTACTGTGCCAGCTATCAGAAGTTTGAATTCTACAATAATTTAGATCTAGCAGTAAAAAAAGCCCCACAACGTTCACTAATATTGCTGTGACATAATTTATCCAGTAAACTTTTAAAAGAAGAAAGTTATCTTAGCAAAAGGCTTCTTCTTCAGTCTCATGCCTGTGGAAGTCTGAATCAAGCTTGCTACAGTATCACCAAAACTGACCACATAATCCCTACAGAGATAATAATGATTTCTTTGCTCTTGTTCATCCCCGACAGTCCTTGCAGTACATCTACTACTTCCATCTCTGTTTGTGGGATGGTCCAGACAACTTCTAGTTTTTATGAGGTGTCCTTCATCTATGTTTGCACTTTAATCAATCTTTGTTATCTTGCCTGCCCACTAAAAGACACATCTGTTCTTTGGTCAAAATTTTCTATTTTACACCTCACCTGGAAGATTAGTCCCCTACTGTCATCTCCCCCCACCATGCTGGGGAATTGTTTCTACACCAAGCCAGAGGAATGCATGTCACCCATATACCTACACCATTTTCTGCATCTATTGATTTTGACGTATTCCATTTAAACTCTGCTTTGCTTGGTATATCTGATGACATCAAAATAGTATGGCTACACTAAAATCATTCAAAAGCATCTGAAAGCCAATATTAGTTAAACAACAAAGCTCAAACGATTCCCCAAAACAAAGGAATTCCTTGTATATCCCAGGAGGGTTTATATTAAAATGAAGGTGAAATCAAAAGCGTTGTAACTATTTAAGAAGTTGAAATAATGTTTAGGCTTTAATAAGTAAGTTACAAAGTTAATTCCATCTTTAGCTTGCCCCATTGTGCCTACGTATTGCAGAGGCTTGAAAAAGCCCATGATCTTGCTAAATATGCCTGATCTTCAGGACATCTGCTACAAGAGATTTGGAATTTTCTTTTTTTGGTGTGGGTCACAACAATAATATTCTTCTATTGTTTACTATTTTCAAAAAGGTAAAGTAAAACTAAATAAAAAAAAAAAAAAAAAAAAAAAACCACAACCCAATTTTAAAATGTACATTCTGATTTGCTGCCAACTGCTTCCTCTCCAGTCCATAATTAAGTGCTTCATGGACACGTTGAGCTGCACTGATGAAGAGGAGTCCTTCTTGTTGTTACAAGGACACATTTCAATCTCTAGTTTAGAGTCATTACAATGTTAATATGGATGTAAACTTTAAAATTAAAGTATTACAAAAAAAGTTAAAAGGTGTGCAGTAACCAGTTGAGTTGCAATAGCTCTGTTGTTTGAAGTACTTGGTTGTTTTAACAGTTACCATATGGCACTATCCACAGTAAGGATCAAATGCCTGCAAAATAATTTTTTTTTTTTTTTAAAATGGTCAAACCAGTTTTTAGGAAGTTTAAGATTAAACTGTTCATAGCAGGAAACTGCATGCCAAGTTTAAATTCAGAGCATATTTCTAAACCATATTTAGACCAGTTTTCACTACTTAACACCATACAGATATTTTTCTGGTATATATGATACTGGTATAAATATTTTCAAATTTCTGTTTGAAAAAAAAAATTCAATTGCAGAAAGCAATGTGGAAAACTTCAGTAGACAAGTGCCAACAGTTGCCACTTGGTAGAACAGTGTTCACTGGTAAAGCAAGATTAATTCCTTGGACACAAAATTTGGAGTAATTATATTTTTAATGCCCATAAGAGATAGACGCTTTTAGACTGCACTTCAAGATTATCCAACATTACTGACTATACAGACTAGTAAGAAGTACAAATGGTGAAATTCCAGGCATCTAGACACATTAAAGTCTCCCCAACAGACATACCAAATGGGATTGAGTTGGACCAAAAAGATCAAGAGGGCCCTGAAATGTCTCTGCTAAAATAATACTTTCCCCAAACAAAATACTCTTGGGATAAATCAGAGGGAGATGTATAGTTTCCTTGCTTAGGACTTAAACTGTTACTGAAACAAATGCAGTTTCTTTGAATGCTTCTTCTTCATACTTTTCTAGACACAAACTCACTTTATAGTACCTACATTTTTTTAACTCCTATTGTATCTATCAATGTACGTTCTATTTGAAATTCTCTCTTCCACAGAGGGAGTTTTTCTGATTTTTAACCCAAAAGGTTAACAGGAAACTCCAAGTAGAAGTGAACTGAGGGAATATCCCACTGTTTTATTCTCAGCATTTATCTGTGAAGTTACTTAGTTTATTGTGCCATCTTACAAAGGTACAATTTAAATACATGTATTAATTACTTTAAAAAGATGAATTGAACATTGTCACCTTCTGGCAAAGCCTATTAAAAAAGTGAAGAACCAAAATAACATCGGTTAGCTTTAACTAGGAGCTGAATAGCCTCACACTTACATATATATCCCACTGATGGCAGGTTAGAAAAACATTGCCTTTTAGTAACCCTTTACTCTTCTAGCTTTCCAGGATCATCAAGCAGCTCACCCAATATGGACAACTTCCAGATCCACTCAGACATCCTACAATGCACTGGTTACTCCATAGCATCTCTGATTAGTGCTGAAACAGGAAGCCTGCCTGAAGGGGTGGGAGAAGAGAAGAAATATAAGCCTGGTTATTCAATATTCAGAAGGTTCTCTCAAGAGTTTTTTCGAAACTAGTTTAATACCTTCAGAAAAGCGGTTGAATATTGAATAAAACAAGGCTTACCTTATTGACCCAGCACTGATCACAGAAGCCATTAAAGTCACAAGTGCATGCTGGAACACTGAACTGATCTAAATTATTACTGGAGACTAGGATAGCCAAAAGTCCAATATGGCACAGCTGCCTCTCCCTTCCCCCCCACCCCAGGTCTACAAGAGGAAAAAGAGAATCATGGAAATGTAGTAATGAAATGCTCTTTGATAAATGCCTAAACACACATCACAAGCATCTAATAAGATTGATCTGTTAGTCTGAACAAGCTTCCTGTCCATGTTTAAGTAGGCTATGCTATAAAACTTGGGAATTGCTAAAGCACTTTCTAATATAAAATGACATTTGCTCAATTATCTTATTATATTGACACATGACTACAAGTTAGAATTAAAAAAAAAAAAAAAATTACCTTGGAATGTTGCTCTTTTAACTTCGTTATTATACCTGGATCGTCCTTTTTGCTGGCCATGAGCAGCCTAAACATCTGCTCTCTGTATTTGCTCATTATGAGTTCCAAAGCAGACTGATGTTCTTCGAGAGATGTACGTAGTTCTACCAAAACAATTAAAAATTGCTTCAAGACTTGCATGCAAAAATACTTCATTTGAGAAAACTAATACAAGCTCTTAGACACCACCAAACAAAGTCTGCATAGCACTTGCGCTGAGAAGTTCTCCCACAGCCAGAACCTATAGAGTCCCTTTATGCTACTCCAGCTCTTTTAACTGGAGTCAAGTGGTCAGAGAAAAGAGTGAGGATCTCACTCCTAGTGCTCCACTTAAAACACCCAGTGCAGAGTCCATCTGGAAGTTACTTAGGTTACTGTTTTGATCTGTAACTCTGCAGAGTTTGTCTGACTTTAAACATGAGCAAAACTTTGTTTTGAGATACAATATTTTGTGATTCTTCAGTATATAGCACCAGCAGTTAATTTTCCCAAAACGAAGCTTTTCTGCACCAAAGGCTCAAAGCAATTAACCATTACAAAATTAATAAAGGGAGTGGAATTGTACTTAGTAAGCAGGGCTGATCTTTGAGTTTCTAGTGCCCTACAGAAGGGTAGATAACTTCCTATGTGAGACAAGAGAATGGTGAATATGAATCTGTAAGTGCCCCCTTGCTTAGAGTACCCCAAAACCATCAAGTCAGAAGATATTTCATTAGACTAATTTTTTTAAAAGAAATAGAAGCCTCCCCTGTACATAAATAAGTTATTTTCTTAACAGTAAAACATATACAGATAGATATATTCTGTACAGTAACAGTGAATAATAGTCAAGTCACAGGATAAATAAGAGCTATAAGACCTATAGAAAATTACCAGCAAAACTACATTTTAAAAATCTCAAAGGAAAAATAGTATGCCTGAATTGTTTTTTTGTTCACCATTGTAATAAAGATGCCAAATCTCCAAATGTCTACACAACCAGTGTATATGACTGATTATACTAGAACAGCAGTTCTCAAACTGTGGGTCGGGA